AAGGAAATACATCAGCTTATTAATCGATTCTCCTCACCTTTGGCTCACCTCTCTTTGTTGTAAGATGGCTTTAGAAACTTTGTGCACGGCGCACTCCACCCGAAAAGAAAACACACTCAAAACCTTATCATTTAGGAACACACCCAGATTCCGTGCTGACCTCTGCATTTATATTTGCCTGACTGGCCCTTGTATAACTTCGTACGAATGCTCTTTTCCAAAAAGGTGGATGTGAAGTCAGTCTTATTGCTCTAGACAGAAACAGCTCGTAGGCTTAACATTTCAAACTACTTCATCGAGTCGGATTGACTAAATGACGTCTAGGGGGCGACGCCAATACGCTGCTGAGCAAAAGCTCAACTCACCGTCATACATGCTCTGTAATCTGTTAGTTCAAAACAAAATGGAAAGGCAAATCCTAGATATCCAGAAAAAAACTCTAGGTAGTCGCTGTTCACGTATTTCTTTAAACGGATCAGCCTGATCTGAATTAGTTGATTCAACTGATGCCACATATATCATGGCAGATTGGTACGAACGTCTGGACTGGGTTTGTAGTAGATTGGATATCTCGTCAAATAACAATCGAAAATGTGACATATGTTTTCAAATCAAAGAACACTTTTTAAAGTTATACATGTAATAAGTATTATCAGGCAGCCGAGTTCCAAGATATTTCATTTGGTTCAGTATATTAACGGCTGAACAAACTTCTTTCCGATGGCTTCACAGATTTTGGAAGACCTGATTAGTTGAAATACAGAAGTTACATCTTCTGAAAAGTTTAAACGTTAAAAAATGTACTTCTCGTTTATAAAAAAAAGCGTTTGCAATTGCTGAATAATTGTGACCCTGACCTGTCCTTGCACTTCGATTTAGGGCTTCCAAACAACATGCTGTATTCATTCCGCCCAAGGAAAATTACAGACTGCGTCTTCTGGAAGGCCTAAATTTGAACAGAGTGGATCCATCGGTTATAAAAGTCTTTGCAATTCCGAAATAATTGTAGCCCCGATCTGTCGTTAAAACGTAATTTAAGGTTTTCAAACTGCACATCTTGTACATTTCGTCTAAAGTAATTAACAAATTCCTCCAGGCTATGATCAAAACGTCTCATACTGCTCATAAATATTAACAATGAACATGGACAAGGTTGTGTACTTTATAAGCTGCATTGACAAATGGAAAGATATGATGCTTAAGAAATGCAAAATGAACGGCCTAAACAATTTTCGCATTTATAAATGGTTTAAAGTCGAAATAAACACTTTCTTCGGAATAAGCGCGAATATATTTAAATATTTTTCTACGAAACGCATTTAAGGACGCAAGACCACCGAAAATAATTAATAAAGACACATTTCCTAAGCTAAAGTACAATTTCTGAATATTTTGTTCTACTTTGCGGACATACGCTCAAGAGTCTGAAGTAAGTTGAAAATAGCTGAGGTTAGCGAACTTTTAGAGAAAGAGAACGAGAGTTTGATTCATTTTGCCTCTTGCAGGAAAAAAAAACATTTTTGATTACTTTTACCCTCAACCATCGATCGCGGGACATAACATGTGTTGGCACAGCAAGAAGCAATAAGGAAATTTGGCAGGTTGTTTACGTTGCAGCGTGAGCACCCATGCCCCCCAATCAGATATGGGCTTCTCCAGCATTGGTCCTGTATGTCGAGGTCAGTCAGTGAGGCTAGCGAGATATATTAAGGCGCTGTTGACAAAATTTTCACTCGCTGACGACTCATCTTGATGTAAGTGCCGCGCAAATTTACCGTAAACTGTTGTTAAAACGTTTATGTTGGAATGGCCTTTTAGGTTTATTTTCTAAACGTAGTTATTATACTTCTTTATTGCAAACACGCATGTTGGCATGGACTATAGGTGAGATCTATATCGTACAAGAAACTTGCGGGTGTAGATGAAGACAGCATATTATGCAGTGATTGTTTAGGGCTTTTTCTCGTTCTTGACTTCATTGCCTCTCTATCTGTACAGAAAACCATGTCTAACCAAGGTACCGTTCATCCCGCTTCGCAAATGAACCCGCACGATGATGCGGCGGCCCTGGAAAAAGCCATGAAGGGACTCGGTTAGTTTAATCTATTTTCACCCATTACCTCAGTTTTATCCTTCTGAATCGTTTCACTGTTTCTATCAGTTTATATCTAGACTAAACTTTAGATGTGAGCAAGTGAACCTGGTTGCTTTAAGAAGATAGTGACGTTTCTGGTGAAACAAAAACCTTAAAAATCGTAATCTTTAATCTCTATTAGGCACGGACGAGCAGGCCATCATCGACCTGCTGTCAAAACGTTCTGTTCACCAACGCCAAATGATCGCAGAAACCTACAAAGCAAGCTACGGAAAGGTTAGTTAACTGCATTGAAATTAAACCTATTTGCCTCGAAAATACCAGAAGTATTACAGTCTAAAGATGAGTCAGCAGGACTGCTAAGTCAGCCCGATCTTTGTCAAACTTATTGCAATATGATTTTTTTCTTCTGCTCTTTACGCATAACGCCAAAAGGATCTCAAAGACCGTTTACATAGCGAATTGAGTGGACATTTCCGACGCGCCGTTCTCTACTCCTTCTACGACATGGCTCACGTAAATGCCAAGGCCTGCTACAAGGCCATGAAGGGCGCGGGCACCGATGAACAAGTCCTCATTGACGTCATCTGCACATCCACGAATGAGGAAATACACGCTTTGAAAGAAGCCTACAAGGATAGTGAGTTATCCCGTTATACTTCTACACTATGTTTATCAAAGCACAGAACAGTTATGTGAAGGCTAAAGAGTTTGATCGAAAGAGGTGAACATTTTGTATTTCTGGGACTATTGGCTTATGTTAGTTGCGTAAGGGATTCTTATAAAAAAAACCGTAGCTTAAAGTACATAAGTAAAGACTTATTTCGTGTTAAGTCATTATTTATTTTATTTAAGTAAGCAATTTAGTTTTATTAGTTGTAGACTTGTTTAGTTTACTTAGTCTAGTTTAAGTTTTTTTAGTCCAATTTAGTTTTATTTTATTACATAGTTTTATTATTAATGGTTTAGTTGAGTTAAGCTTCAGTTTTTTTAGTTTAGTTAGGCATAATATAATTTAAAGAAGAGTTATTTGTTTATAAGGGACCCTGACTTTTAGTTCTTCTTACTGGATTTTTGAGAGTTGAATGGCTATCAGTTAAAAAAACCCAAAGGTACACAACCCACACCGAGGGCTCTATGCTTATACATTTTCCTAAGCATTCAATTCACGCCTCCAAATCTACCAAATACTAAGTAAACCCAAATTTTGATTAATCTC